CGCAGGCTGGCCCCGGGCCTGTGGGCGATCCCCAGGCTGCACACCAGTCCTGCCTGGTCCATGCCTGCCCGCCTGCGGCCCTCCGTCCCCGCGGGACTTGGCGGAGATGCCTGTGCGGGACCCCTGCCAGGGCTGAGGAGTCGGTTCCTCGGAACTTGATTGTGCTGCTCAGACAAGTGGGAGGAGCGCTATCCCACCCACACTTCCCTCTAGGAGCGTGGGAGCTGCAAGGAGGCACCAGAGCGTACAGACTTCCTCCCCTCACACAAGCTCTCACGCCCAAAGGGCCACAAAAGCTAGGCCGTGTGTGCGCCGTTACCTCCCCACCCTACTACTGAACCCCTCATCCCAAGGCTGGGGGGCCCCACTGACCCTGAGGACACAGCTTTCCTGCCCTCCTGCCATGAGAAAGCGTATTCCCCTATGGCCCTGGTTCTCACCCTTCCCAATGCCTCGACCCCTTAATGCAGTTCCTCATGTTGTGGTGACCCCCACTTTCATTGTTACAAATTGAACATAATTAAAGCACAGTGATTCATCACAAAAACAATCTGTAATTATAGATGTGTTTTCCGATGGTCTCAGGCAACCCCCGTGAAAGGGTCGTTCGACCCCCAAAGGGGTCACGACCCACAGGGTGAGAACCGCTGCCCTATGGGCTGCCCAGTGCCCACCACGTCCTTTTGGGTCCACTGGACTCAGGGGAGAAGGGGGAACTGGGGAGCAGGTGTTGCCTGCCTGCCACCACCCGCCTGCAGCCAGCAGCAGTCCTCAGGGGAGGAGCTCCAGGCCCAGGGCAGGCTGCAGCCCAAGGCGCCCCTCTCAGCTTCTGGAGGCCCTGGCGGTAAATCACCTATCCAAAGGAAAGTAAACCTTCTTATTCTCGTGACTTCTGTAGCAACAGAACTCCCTGATTCCGAACTAACAGAATAAAATGGGACAACAAAACAGACAACCCAGAAACAACATGAATGGAAAACTCACTCCAGCCCTGGGTGGTTTGGCTCAGTGGAAAGAGCGTCAGCCTGGGGACTGAAGGGCCCCGGGTTCAATTCTGGTCAAGGGCATGTACTTCGGTCGGCTCCATCCCCTGCCCAGGTGGGGGCGTGTGCGCAGGCAACCAATCGATGTGTCTCTCTCGCATTGATGTTTCTCTCCGTCTCTCTCTCTAAAAATCAGTGGAAAAATATGCTCAGGTGAAGATGAACAAACAAACAGAAAAGGGGACTCACTCCGAACGTTCAGCTTGTCTTTGGCACCAGTTACGTCATGCCTGGGTAGGAAACATTCTTGTAGCCGTGGTTCAGACCAGACCAGACCTGTCTCCAGCTCAGGCATCTCAGTGGCCCCGCAGCAATCACACGTCCTCGGCGAAAGGTCACAGCGCTGCTGCGACAACAGGGTCCACCAACCTGCTCTGTAAACGGCCAGACGGAAACATCTTAACCCACCGGTCCTCCCCAGGGACAGCCTTTCTCCCAGGAGATGGCAATGCCCGGACCCACTTCTGGTTGTCACAGACGAGAGATGCCACTGGCACCTAGAGAGGAAAGGCCGGGGATGCTGCTACATAGTCTACCATGCCCAGCAGAGCCCTCCTGGAACGAAGAATGCTCTTGCCCACAAGACCAGCAGCGCCGAAACGGGGACCCTGAACACGGCAGGCACGTTTGCTTTCTGTCAGACGTTCTTCTGTTTTCACGCCCCTTTAAGGATTAGTACAAAGACGGGTGGACCCTCTCTACAGTGTCAGCTAGGTCCACAGAGACCACACATGGGCAGGAGGCCAAGGCTCTGATGCTACAAACTACTCATAGGATCTCAACACGGGCCTACCCGTGTCTTCGTGCGGCTCCCAGGGCAGGAAGTAGGAATTCTCTGAGGGAACCGCCCCCACCCCCTCCCAAGCTCCAGCAGGTCCCAGCCCTCCTACAACCTCCGCTCTGTAACCAACCACAGCCCACAGGAGGGGGCGGCTCGGCGCTCATTCGATTTCACTCCCAATGGGTCAGGCCACCACTGCGTTTCAGCAAAACATCCTATTTTATTTTTATCTCAGCAAAGGTCCTCACGTGGCACCTGACTGGGTGCCTGTGGTACCAAACCAAAGACCTCAGGCCAACAAATGGGAGCCAAGACCACCTGCACGCTTCCCGCTGGCGGGTTTCAGCACCTCTGAGCCTCAGAGCACCCCTTCCCCTCGAGGGTGCGCTGGCAGTGCTGGCCGCCAGCTGGCGGGGAAAGCGGCGACACTGCAGCTGCTGGGACAGGAAGCCAAGCAGAGCCTTTACAGCAAAGCTCTTTTCTCGGGGACAGACCTCCAGACCTCCAGACCGGTCCGATCATGCTTGTTTGACACCTTCCTGGGTGCCGTGGCTGGAATGAAGACAGGGCCATCCTCTCCCCAGTGGCCAGGGGAGGAGATACACGCTGCTTTACACTCGGAGCTCAAACGTCGAAGGAGGTCTTGTCTGGGTGAACGGGACAGTGAGCTCTGAGATCAGTGATGCTGGCCGGCCTTGCAGCCTTGGCACACGGGCTACTTTCCCAGGATCCAGGACAACTCTGAGCCCACGAGGACATTTTGCTTACATGCAGTTTCCAGCTGCCAGAGGAGCGCAGGCCCGTCACGCTTGGGTCCTTCTCAAGGTCTCCATTCAGATGCGCTATTCAACGCATGAAATAACAGGAAATAGATCTGAAGGACCACGGCTGCTCTTTTCCCCCCTGCTGAGCAGTTTCAGACATGACTGGCACAGAGAAAGCTGGGCACTCGGCGGGGTACAAGCTGGAGTTGCTTTCACACCCAGACTTCTCCTCCGGGTGCGGCGAGAGACCGGGTCCTCACCCTTCCGGGGTGGCCCTCAGCTTTGGGCCCAGCCTTCTGGCTGCGGAGAGCTCGCGTCCAGGCCCCTCTGCGAGGCTAGTTGACCCGGCAGGCGCGGATCATGAGCAGCTGCAGGAGAATGAAGACGGGAGACGTGATCAGGCCGAACCAGAGCTCCCGAGTCTGCTCCACCAGCTTCTGGCACAGCAACATCTCGAACACGAACTTGAGGCTGAGAACCGTGAGGATCCAGAAGAGGCGCAGCACGGCCAGCCGCTTCTCGCCGTCCTGGAAGAGCCGCACCGACACGATGGTGGTGAAGTAGGTGCTGAGCCCGTCGGCGGCGAAGAAGGGCACGAACACGTTCCACCAGGAGAGGCCGGGGGCCAGGCCGTCCACACGCAGCGCCAGCAGCACGGAGAAAGCCAGCAGGGCCAGCAGGTGCACGA